AGCATGGGAGTTGTCTGCATGTTTCGATGAAGTTTTGTGAATTTTTAACTTATTTCATTTATTGTGTAAAAATACAATTTTTCTTCAAAAGAAAAACAAACCAAGCAGAATAACTAGAAAATTGATTCACCTCTACAAAGGCACAGCAACTTTTTTTTCCAGTTTCAATGATCATCATTAATTTTGTGTTATCAGTTTTGTAGAAATCATACAAACACAGTTGAACAGTTGCTCTGCAGATGTCATCTGAGCACTATTATCTCCATATCACAAAAACAATAAACAGAGACAAGCGAATCTCCATGCAGGGATCAAACCCACAACCTTAGTGTTTTCAGGACCATGCTCTAAGCAGCAGAGCCAGTCTCAAGGTGATAAAGGTGATACACAGGTTTTGGGTGACAATGCCCATAAATAGTGGTGCAAATACAGCATAGGGAACTTTTCTGAAAGGACAATTACAAATATTTAAACCAAGACAAGGAAGTAGGATGATGGAAAGGAACTTAAATGCTTTTAATAGATAGTGCATTTCATAAGTTTAAGGCTAAAGAGCAATATTGTTTGCAGCAAGATGAAGCTGAATGTCATCTCATCTTTTTGCCTAAATACCAAAAGCAGTTTATTTTTGTTTTCTGAGAATTGCATTCTTAAAAGGTAATGTTCAGTGCACACATAGTGTATAGCTCACTGCTTGCTTGTCTGTTTCCTCAAGAGTCAACCAAGAGGGTTGCTTTACACAAAGAAAGTGTTTGGGGAATCTAAGTTAAGCATTTGAACTTCAGCTATTCAGAGGAACCCGGAGATGTGGGGAGGACTTGGCCTACTGTGTTGTGAAAACTGTCAAGTCTGAGGTGATTGCAATGTGGGATGAGTGGGCCAAGGAGCTGGAAGCTGTTAAAAAAAAAAAGAATTTGGCACCAGGCATGGTTTTGTGTCCTTTTTTAATGCCTGGCCTCTCTTGTCTGCCTTTCTTTCCAGAAGGAAGCTGTCCTAATCTCTCGGATCACTGTCCCTTTGCAGAGCGTTCTGCTCCTTCTGCTCCCAGCAACTTCATATGTTCACTGTTTTTCTGGAGAGCTTCATCTTTTATGGTGTTTCAGAGATGCTGGGGAGGGATGCCCGTGTACCTCTGCTGTCCCTTTTGCCAGGGCTGATGGCTGCCCAGTGGTGACATGAGCCAGCACACTGGGGCTCAATGCCTGGGAAAGCCCAAGGACTGTTCAGCCTATCCCTCACTCAATGTTTGCATTTCTTGAAGCTGCCACTCCCCCCGTCACTTAAACAAACAGAGTGATAAATTGTAATCTAAACACATACCCTCAGACCCCTAAGCAAACACTGACTTCAATATTGTTGAGTTTGGTGATGGGATGGCCTGTTTTCATTTAAAATAGTTCAGATTCTTTCATGCCAATTCTTTCTGTAGAAACAAGCTACTTGTGCATCTAATGCCTATAGGTTTGTTTTCAGGCTCCCCGACTCTCTTTTCCTATGGATGTTTCTTTCACCCATCCCAAAGATGAGAGGTTCTGGCCCTAGATCCCAGCATTATTATTTCAATCCCATTCCCTGTTTTCTGGAAATGATGCTAGTCTTCAGTCACTCTTGCTCCTTTTCCTTAGTCCCAAAATCAGCATAGCTCGCTCATCTGCAAAATAGCAAATTCTAGAGATCTAGGAAGTTGCATAATTTTAGCCACAAAGCAACACACACACAACTTGTGTAAACTTAGAGCAAAATGACTGTACATAAGTTCTTACTATGGCTAGGAAGAATATGGATATTTAAGATGCATTTTGTTCCTCCAGCTTTGCTCAGGATGCTCAGTTTTGTCCAGGGAGTAGAAAACTTGCACTCTGGGTTTTTTGCTATTCTTGCCCTCTGCACAAGATGTGTGGAAACTACATCCTGAGTTCTCTGGTTTCCTCTTTTTATTTGTGCTTCAAGCTTCCTCCTCAGCTGTCTGGAACCTTATCTGAGTACAAATGCCAGCCTGGGCCTCCCTCCGGGGCTGCTCTCTTTTTTCCTCATTTTGTTTTCTTATGGAAATGACTGTGACAAAGAATCTGCTGTTGCCTTCTGCTCTTGTGTACCGCAGGCAGAGGTTTGCCCGAAGGCAGGAGGATCAGCAGACAGAACCAAACTGCTCCAGCAAACCTGGATGTGATCTGACCCTCTGTGGAAGGGGAACTCTGCATCTCATGTCACATGAGGCTGCAAAGGCCACTCTTCCCTTGGGGCTGTGACAGAGGATGGGGAAAGTCTCCTCACTCTCTCTTGCACCTAAACCGAAAGGCTGCAGGAGATGCAATGCCACCATTCCCTGATCTTGCAGCTGTGGAATGCCACTCACAGGTGTACCAGTCCATCAGTTAGAGGAGATCATCCTACTACAGAGCACAGAAGTCTGTTCCCCGTGGCTCTGTGAATGACCTGGGTATTTTTGGGTGTAGTAGACCATCACTGTTCACAGCAATTCCTCCCCACGGGGCCTTCACGTTCCAGGTAACACCTTCCTCTCGTGTGAAAACACTGCTGTGTGCTTCATGGTCACTGACTGATCATGTATCATCCTTCCCCATAGAAGTTTCATGTGTCTCAGTTTGAAGGTGAACTTTCCTAAGGGAAAAAAATAAACAAAAGCCTGTCACTGGCAGACTGCTATAAAAAAAGCTTATTGTGGTTTGTCAGGTGCATTTAAAGGACTTGAAATACACAGCTCTGGGTATCCTAAGATCTGTTTAACATGGTGTGAAATCATATCTATTTTTCTCTGAGGGGAGCTTGTACATCTCTTCCACTTGTTAAATTTGGACTTCTCAGCTCATAGGTGAGCTCAGCTGACAGAATTTATTGAATTTCTGCCTGTAGAGACATCATGTCTAACCTAGCATTTGAAAAATCAGTCATAAATTCCAGCTATTTTTTAAAACTACTGTTCAGTTTCGTTAATTTATTCAATGTATGGAATTTTTGTATATATTTGATTTATTTCCTGTGATGATACTCTGCCAGCAAGTATTCTTTAGGGAAGTCAGTGTGTAAGCTGGTAGATAAGGACTCATACTTTTTCCAAGGTTTTGGTTTTGGTTTTATCTTACTGATACATCTGTGCAGTTGATATTTATTACAGTGAATACTTTTAAATTTTCATTTATTAAATAAGCATTGAATCAACAGCACTCCTATTTTTAAAAAAAAACCTGATGTTCAAGGTGACCAACAAAATTACTTCTGCCATGACAAACCATCTAAATATGTTGCTGACTTATCACTGGAAGTAAGATCAGTTCTCTCTTGCACTTCCCAAGCCAATTTTACTCATTAAGATGACACTCAGTGTCTACCTTCATCTCATGAAACATTCCTCCTTGAGCTTTTGAACCAGCAGTGACATCACTAATCACACTAATCACTAAAACCTAAATTATCACAGAATGACCCGGTTGGAAGAGACCTTTAAGATCATCAAGTCCAACTCATGCCCTAACACCTCAACTAAAGCATGACACAGAGTGCCACATCCAATCTTGTTTTGAACACATCCAGGGGTGGTGACACCACCACCTCCCTGGGCAGGTCATTCCAGAACTTTATCACTCATCCCATGAAAAGCTTTTTCCCAATATCCAATCTATATTTCCCTTGGTGCAGCTTGAGACTGTGTCCTCTGGTTCTGTCAGCTGCTGCCTGGTGAAAGAGACCAACCCCCACCTGACTACAACCATCTCTCAGGAAGTTGTAGAGAGTGATAAGGTCATGTAAATTGTTTTATTTCACTGATCCTTATTTTCCTGTTCCCAAGAAGATTAGAAATGGGAGTGTTGCCCTACCAGCTGGAGTAATACAGGCCAGGTCAATGTTTGTTTGTGAAGGAGAAGGAACTGATCATTGTTTATGGTGGGCTGCAGTAACAAAAGGGATTTGAAACCCCATGTCCAGAAGTCATTCTCCAGCTCCTAGCACCAGGATCCTGCTTTTGCTCTCTCTTCTAGGGGTAAGAACTCTGGAAGCCGGTGGTAGGCGCAGAGCTGGATGGCGCCCAGCTGCAGAGAGAAGGAAAAGGGGGCAGCTCTGAGAGGGGAGCAGGCTCTGGCACAGGCAGGGCAGCACCTGGCTGCACGTTCTGGTGGCCTGTGCTCCAGGTGACCAGTAGGGAAGAGGCTGGGAAGCTGATATCCACTTCTCTGAAAAGAAAGTGAAAGAGCCAGGTTGGTTTACAACTTCCTTTGCACTGGGAGGCTGACAGCTCTGTAGACAGTAGTGTGGAGACACTTGTGGTTCCTGGAATGGGACTGAATGTCACAAGCTATGGAGAACAGTTGCTGGGACCCCTCCAGCACTACCCTGTATTTCTTGTTTGTGGTGACTCAGGATTAAAAGGCAGTGGAGGGTAGGATCCCTTCACGCCCTCCAGGCAAGAAGTCTAAAATTGGCTCTTTCACAAAGTTTCCCAGGAGATGCAGGCAGCGGTGTGAGTTCATTCTATGGGACAGGCAGGTGCAGGAAATTACTTTTCAGTAGTTATTGCAACTTTATCTCCTTTCATTATTTGGTTGAGGTTTTTTCCTGTGGGCTGGACCTCAGATCTAGAAACAAGGAAGGTGATCTCTTCTCTGGACACTGCCTTTTCAGTACCTCGCTGGTGTGGAGGGTATCTTCTCAGTCTCGTGCGACTTAAGAAAAAACAAAAGCCACAAAAAAACCCTACTCTAACAGAATACTTTCTCTCCGTAGCCACGATGCCCATCTGCCCCCCGAGGCAGGGATGCAGTCCAGCCCCAGCGCCCCGGTTCCCCCGGGCAGCGCCGGGCACGCACCGCTGCCCCGGCCGTGCGGGACCCTCCGGCCCGGAGGAGAAGTCCGGGGCGCTGGTAACGTGGCAGCTCTGAGGCGATCCGTGCTCTGAGAAAAACGGGAGGTCAGCCTGCAAGTTACACGGATTGAGTCATGTAGAGTTAAACTAACCCCTCCCACAGCTATGGACCACTAAAGCGCCCGTTTTCATGAGCACCTCTCACTAAGGCAGCTCGGAGCCGGCAGAGGCTGAGAGAGGAAGGAGGGGGGAGCGCGGGAGGAGGGAGCGAGCACCGGCACTGATGGACGAGCCAAAGGGTAAGGACAGAAGCGAGCCGAAGGCAGCCCTCGTCCCCGGCGAGGGGCGCGGGGCTCGGCGGGAGCCCCCGGAGCCGCTGCATCCCGCGGCCGGCGCTCGGGGGAGGCTGTGCATATTCATGAGGAGCTCTCCTTCGGGATGTGCCAGTCAGGCGGGAGCTGCGGCTGCGGCATCCCCGAGCGGCGCGTCCCTCCCTCCGCGCCCGCGGAGCGCTGCCGGCGGTGGGCGAGGGCTCCGCGGCGGGGGCTTGCCGGGGTGGGCGCAGCCTTGCCGCAGTCCGCCCCCGGCTGACATCATCTTCCAGCCCCGGGACTCCCGGTCGCTCCTGGAGGGACAATGCCGAGTTGTGCCGGGGAGCCCGGGCGGGGGGCCGCGGCTGCTGGGGGAGCCGGCGGTGGCTGCGGGCCGGCGGTGCCCGGGCGGTGCGGGCGGGAGCGGGAGCTCGGCGCCGGCGGCTCCGGGAGTTTGTCCGCGGCAGTGCCGGATTCCCTCCCGCGGCAGTGCGGGGATCCCTCCCGCGGCAGTGCGGGGCTCTCCTCCCGGGGCAGTGTTGGGGATCCCCTCCCGCGGCAGTGCGGGGATCCCTCCCGCGGCAGTGCGGGGATCCCTCCCGGGGCAGTGTTGGGGATCCCCTCCCGCGGCAGTGCGGGGATCCCTCCCGCGGCAGTGCGGGGATCCCTCCCGGGGCAGTGTTGGGGATCCCCTCCCCCGGCAGTGCGGGGATCCCTCCCGGGGCAGTGTTGGGGATCCCTCCCGGGGCAGTGCGGGGCTCCCTCCCGGGGCAGTGTTGGGGATCCCTCCCGCGGCAGTGCGGGGCTCCCTCCCGGGGCAGTGTTGGGGATCCCTCCCCCGGCAGTGCGGGGCTCCCTCCCGGGGCAGTGCGGGGATCCCTCCCGGGGCAGTGTTGGGGATCCCTCCGGGGGCAGTGCGGGGCTCCCTCCCCGGCGGGCAGCAGCCCCGCCCCGTCCCGGCTGCCGCCGGCGCTGTCCCCGGGACGGCGCCGCGCTCCAAGGGCGAAGGGGGCTGGGAGGGCAGAGCACAAACTCGGTGAAGCGTTGGCTGTCAGGAGACCTCGGTGGGAACCGAACAATGGCTCGGGGGGTGGGAGCAGCGCGGTGCTGGCTGCGAGGGTCTCTCGGTGCTCGGAAGAGGAGGATTCCCCACCCGGCAGCCTGGCAGCCCTCTGGCCTTAAGTGCGGTCCTGAGGAGCGGGGCAGGGAGCCGGCAGTAGCTGCAGATGCTTATTGCAGCGTGATTTTTCTACAAGATGCATGTCTTGTACTTGGCTTTGCCTTTTATAATCGGCTGACACGGTGCACGTAGCAGCACTAGTCACAACGTTTGGCAGAAACATTTCCTAGTTTAGTATCAGCTTTTTTCTATCTGGGTGCCTTACCCTCTGTTTACAGCGCCTTCTTCTGCAACACGGTCCGTCTTTCCGTGCTGCTGACAGCACTGCGCTCCGTGCGGGGCTTTCAAACACAGGGCAGGAACTCGGACAAATTCACAAGAGGCAGTAAACAGGAAAAATATTTGGGCAGATAGTTTCTTGTTCAGTACCAGGTGGAAGTCTCTCATTCATCATTGTTATGACAACGGGGAAACAAAATGTGATTTCTTTTTTCCCCCTAGAATAAATAAAATGTTAAACTGGACCTTTCCAATGTTTTATCTTCATAGAATGTGATAAATGCATTTGAGGGGAAGGAGCATTTTCTCAGTCTGACAAGCATCAAAATTTAAAGCAAAGACTGGCAGAAGGAGAAGGTTAGCTCATTAGTTTATGCAGTCATGAGTGAAGCTGGAAATATTTGGAGATAATTTGCCTCTGTTGAGGAGGGAGATAAGAATAGCTTTGAAACCAGTCTTTTAAAAGTTTTATTCCAAAAATGAAATACAATGCTTGAACAGAAATGTCTTTTCTAGTGGATGAGGAATCACAGGGAAGAAACTTGGATAATGAGAACTGATTTAGGAAAAACGACCACATATGCCTTCTTTTAGAAAGAGGAATTTTAAAGAGACAGAAGGAAACTAATGGAAACTGACAGTGCTGAAGCCAATTGCAGATGAGGCAACGATGGTTCTGTAACAGGCTGACCTGCAGAGCATGCAAGTATTGCAAGACCCCATAGAAAATTAGTGCAATAAATAGCATGGAATTGCATTTCATCTGTGTGGGGCAAGAAAACACCACACTGTTTCTGAGAATGCCTCTCACAGTATCTTTTCCAGCAGTCAATGTGCTCAACATGGGGCAGTCTGGGACAGGTGGTATTCATCAAGTAGTAGGAAGGTTCCACCTTGAAATGAGGCACAAATGCAGACCAAGGGCACATCCTGTCATCAGAAAGGAATTATTAAGAATTAAGTGTTTCAGTAAGACACCTGTTTCCTGTGAGCCATGTCCACAGGGACTGCGATAAGTGCCTTTGGAACACTACTCTTCAGTGTTAGGAAGCTTGTTTTTAAACACTGATACCGTCAGCTCTGCTTTGAAATTGGCTAAAATGGCCAAAAAATAAATTCTGTTTAGGATGTTACATAGCAACAGGTTATATCATTGATCACTGAATACTTTCTTGGGCAGAAAGCACGACAACCTTAAAAATACATGTTACTGGAAGATGCATGGGTGTGCTTCAGTCTGGCAAGAGCATGACACTGATCTCATGTAGACAGCAGTGAAAAGAAATAAACCTTAATACATTTATCTATTTTAACATAAAAGGCACTCATGTAGTAACTCTGATTTGGAGGTCTCTATATACACAGAGATTAATTAGTCACTGTCTGATGACTGCTCTCTATAGATCATTCCAGCATGGAACTGTAATAAAGCAAAATCTGACAGGGAAAAAAAAGTAAAGGAATGTGAATGGAAAAATCAAAAGTTTAAAGAAGACATATTGAGCAGCACATCAAAACCAAGAATGAATATTACTTTGATTTGTTCATTCAAGCTGTGAAGTTAAAACAAGTAAATAAAAGGAAAAACAAGTAAATTTAAAGGAAATGGAGAAAGAGGAAGTGGAGAACATCTGATGGAAAACATAGACTCTGAATTAGGGAAGATTATTTAGAGAAAGTAAAGATGTCAGGGGAAAATCTAAAATCTAAATTAGGGCCAGGCACAATTCAAAGGAGGCATTTAGTATGCCTTAGGAACAAAATAATGTGTATAGATCAATTGTAAGATCATTATGGAGGTGGACAGGGAAAGATTTTAATGACAATGCCGGACAAAACCAGAAAAGTGTTGGCTAAATACTTTTCCAAAACTGGAGGAGGAGAGGAGGAAATTAATTCTGATATGAAGGAATATTTCAGGGATGTTCATGGAAGTAGTTTGTTTTGTAGATTAATGTTTTGGGGTCAATTAATTTTAACAACAATTTGAAATGAAATGTGCCTAGTACTTACTGAGAAGATCTATAAGCAATAATGTTGATTTTCAGCAAGCTGGAGCACTATGGATATCCCTGACAATGGGAAGAATGCTATTGTTCACCCAATATCCCAGCAGTGTGATGGTGGATATTCTGGAGAGCTACTGCCAATATAGCCTGACATTAGTCCTACATAAATTACTGGATAGATCTCCTCAGTAACCAAGTGTTAATGGCTAGTTTGATTATATTCTTTTGGTTTTGTAAAGAATAAAACTTATCAAAGTAACTTTCAGAATAATATTGTAGAAGTGGGTAACGCTGTCAAAATGGATAATGGAATGAATACATGGAAAAGGAAATTACTCATCCCAGACAGAAGCAAACTTATGAGTTCATGTGGCCCCCTCAAGTGAGCAGATATCCCCATCCTGCATCCTAGATGGAGATGGTCCCACTTACAAGAGTCTGCAGCAAGAACTTCAATGAATATGTTTCTTTTGGTTTTGAAACTTGGCTGGAGAATGCACTTAAAAGAAGGAGTGGTGGAAGTATTTCAAGCACTGGTAGATCTTTTAATCTGTCTTTACTTTCTTGAAGGCTCTTTTGTTTACACAGTAAGTCAGCTGACTTAAAAAAATAGCTGTCACACAAGCCTGGTGTGATTCCCATTCGGAAAAAATACAGGCTGTATTTTGTCTTATGCATGTGAACACTCATTGAAGTTCTAGGGAAAAAAATAAGTATTCTTAAAAGCTGAGTGGCTTCTGAGTAAATCTGGGCTGTGAGTTAAGGGACTTCCAAAGCCTGACTCTCTGGATAGTTTAGAACCACCACACAAAAGGGGAACTGGAAGAACTGAATTCCCTGGCTGGCATTTGACAGCCATGGTCTGGATTATAAATGTAGGGCTGGGAAGGCACTGGTCCTTTATTTTCCAACTAATTATTTGCACTTGTTTTATTTTCCAGAGGGAAAAAATGTGGTTGAAAAGATTAAATATGAATACCTTCCATGTTTAAACTTCTTCACAATAGATACACTTCCAATGTTGTTCTGATTGCAAAAGTCTCCCTATGACTCTCTAGCAAAGAATGAACCAATGGATTAAGACCTGGGTAACAATAGACCTTAAAAATAGTTATCAAAGGAAATAATCATGAAACAGCTGTGTTTTCAGAGGTATTCTGCAAGAGGCCTGATGGCATTAGACATTTCCAATAATGATCTAAAAAGCATAAAATCATTGCTGATTTGCAGATGGAGTTTGTCAATGCTAGGAGGACCAGTACAAATACCAATTAAGTCAGAGGAAAAAGTCTAAAGACGCCAAGAGTGGTTGGAAAGATAAAGAGCAAATAAAAGGCTTTAAGCCAAGCCTGTAAAAGCACAGCTAATGTGACTTTGTGAGGAAAATTGGTCATTCAAACACTGAATAGACCGGAAAGATTTCCAGACAACATTGTTCAGAAAAAAATGTGTAGAGGTGTGTGGCATGTATGTATATGTCTATAAATATAAATATATATATATATGTCTGGAACAGCCATAACTAAGAGGTTTTGGGTTCTTCATTACCATGGAGGGAGAAGGTTGTCCTCTAGTCAACC